TGCCGATGCTGCAGACCCGGGTATCTTCACTACAGCCACCCCTGGATACTCCCCAGCACTCGTGGAGAAGACAGAGGTTCAAGTAGCAACAGACACAGCCTGCACATACCACAGGTCTGTGCATGGAGAACATATCCATCCCCCTGCACATGTCCTATACAGATCACACATGCATACCTGGACTACCTCTCTGAATACTGAAGGACTCATGAGGCCAGAAAGATCAAACTCTCTTCCTAAACCAAAGTAACTCACATGCCAACCTTTGACATCTCCTTATCCAAGCTTCACTGGTCCCAGATTGTTATCTCTTCTGCAGGGCTAAACAGCGTTTAGCCCAGCTTCCCCCTGGGAAGAAACTCAAACCCAGGAGCAGATTTTGCTTCCCACTGCTGCTGTTGGCCTACCAGCATTGTTGGCCTTCCTTGGTCAGCAGTTACTCAGCTCACCTGGAGCCCTTCCTGGGTGCCTCTGCTTGGCCTGGGCTGCAGTGTTTTGCAAAGAGTACTTCTAACTGACTGCTTGCTCATGCCTCAGGAATTTCAGGGCTCCCTTATTTACGTTTTGCAAGCAGTTCTTATATGGACCATCAATAGCAAACCAATACCTTCTTATCTCATGGTTAGGATATTACTAATAATTGTCCGTAGTCAAAGTTTTTCCTTAAAGCCAAAGCACTTGAGTTTCTTTCTTTTGCTCTTTTTGGTTATTTTTTTTGCAAGTCTTGAACCACATGCAGGTACTATCCTAAGCCATACAAGCAAATAAAGCTGGAAGGAGGGATGGGTGTTTAAACAAGGGGTTTGATGTCATGTTGCAAATAAATTTTAAAAAATAATGTAAAGCTGATCATTTACAGGAGAGAAAACTGTTTCCTGTGAGGAACAGTGTCCTTATAAAAGGATTCACCGTAAGGAAACAGTATTGTGCAATAAAACGGGGGAGACTTCATCCTTTACTTTCTACCATAGAAATCTGCTCTTTATTCTCCTTGTACAAGGGCTCCTCCGGAAAGTGGATAAGGACCAAAAGAAAAGATATGAAGGTAAGTAGTAAAAGTAATGGATAAATGTACATCTTTTGTGTGACATTTTGCAACTTTGCCTTTGGAAACTAAGCATGTTTGATGTGTTTAATTTTGTCCTTGTCTACCAGCAATGAAAGAAGAGCCATCTCATCAATAGGAACTTTTCTGGAGGGGATTTGTTTTGAGTCAGTTTGGCTGTGAGAGGCTCTTGGATTAGGAGCCTTTGGAGGAGTCTTTTTTTTTGTCTGAGATGGCCAGTTACTTAGATAAACAGGTTTTGGGGTTGCCTTGGTGCCTGTGAGGTTACTCCCCAGGCAAAGGATGGATCTGAAGGATGCAAGCCAGGGACAGACCAGCAGAAGGCACTGGTCACCTGGGAGTGGAGACCGGCAGAGATGTGTTCTGAGAGCAAACCTGACCTGTCAGTTTGATGGTCCATTTCCTCTGGAGCCACAGAGTAACCTGGTGTTTCCTGCAGACTGTTGCACCTCAAAGCACTTTGAAATATCACAGAGACAATACCAGTGTGCAATGTTAGCAGGGCTTTGCAGACTACTTGACTTGGTGCATTACACTGCAGCTTGGGAACTCCTGCTCCCAGTGCCTAAAAGGGAGACAGGGCTAAACAGTGGCTCTCGGGCGAGCAGCTGTGACACGTGCCATCAAAGTAAATTAATGGTGGCCAAAGTTTTGACAGTTTAAGTCAAAATAGAACTGAACAATCAGAGCAAATTTTTGTCCTGTGGCTGCAATGAATTCCCTGGTGGCTGCATGTGGCCACTGTTATTGTCTCTGAGAGCCTCCACCCTAAGAGATGAGTTCTTTAACAAGTGAACAAATAACTCTATTAGAAATTAAAACAGTACATTCCTGAAAGGAGCTCGGGAGCCTCTTCTCCCATTAGCAACAGTGAGAGTTGCCATGCTCTGCACTTTGCCCAGCAAGAGCTATTCTCCCTCCTTTCAAGCAGATGACTTTGCTGTAACCGATTGCTTCACAACGTCATTCCAGTTTGCCTCTTTTGGGTACCAGCTGCTGATATGTGGGAATGCACTGATTTTTGGTCAAGTTTCAGCCTAGGAAAAAAAAAATCCAATTACACAAAACAAAATGGAATGGGCAGGGGAGAGGAGTCCAGATTTTTAGTTAATGACTGGACTTCTAGTTGAAAAGTAATTATAGAGTACTTACTTGGTGGATGAGCTTGCTCTATCAAGGAGAAAGGAAGATCAGTCACTCTAGAATCTAAAACCAGCCAGGAAATCAAACTCAGGCAATTTGAGGATGACAGATTGTCCAATCTGAATTACATGAGGAGTACAAATTTAGTTACTTTCCTCCAAGGTAGGAAAGAGAGAAAAGTATTTTTATTACATTTATTCAGTAGGCATGGGAAGCCTCCTGTGAGGAAGAAAATGTCCTTTAAGTCTATGTCATGGTAGTGTGATACTGAAAACCAGAAGGGGTGAAGGAATTGTGAACAGCTGGTGAGTGGCAGCCTTATGCCAAAAGAATGAAGTGTGGAGGAGGGGAAAAAGCAATTAAACAACAGAAAAACCCCAACAAAAAATCCCCAGAGCCAACCCAACAAGAAAGAACTGGAGTCTTAACTTCAACAGTAAAGTAACAACAGAAACAGAAAAACAAAACAGAAGTGTTGGGAGACTACTGTCAAACACCAGCTTCCCATGGACTAAGAGCAACAGAAGCCATTGTCCTCTATTGGGGATGGGAACCATAAAGAATAACAGGCTGGGCTGGGAACATAGCTGTTGTCTGCTCTCACTCGCATTTCTCAACTAAGCCCAACTCACTCTCTGTACCGAACACGAGGGATGCATCACAGAGGATGAGTCTGGCTGGGGAGACGGGAGATCTGTGAACACTCACCTTCCTTAAAATAAGAAAATCCCAGCAGTTAGAACGTGGTTAGTTCATCCAGGCTCTCAGGTGAGGAGTGAATAAGGGCCCCATGGGAGGGTGATGGGCATGTGGGACAGGGACCTGCAGCCAAACACCCTGGGCAGGCTGCTGGCTGGGGCCAGTGCTGGGGGAAAAGTTTGGGCTGGGGTGATTGCAGGTGGCAGCATGCTCTGCTCCTGGGCATGCAGCTGGCACAGAGCAATCCTTCCGGGTTCCTGTCCTCTCACTGCGGTGCTCCTGCCAGGGGAAGAGGGTGGTTTATGCTCAGCCTCAGGTGAGGCACGCTGACTTCCCTGGCAAGCTGCCCCCATGGCACACCATTCTGCAGTGCTCCTCCCCGCCTGCCTTCACCTGGCATGGCTGTGTTTCAGAGGTTTGAGCATTCCTGTACCAGGGGCCAGGAGGAGCTGCTGCTCCCCTGCAGATGCCAGGGACCTGCCTGTGGCGAAGGTGAGCTCAGCATGTGCTGGAGGACGAGGGCACAGCACAATGCTCCATGCATCCTCCCTTGGCCACCCTGGAAGCTGGGAGAAATACTGCACAGAGAGGCTTAAAAGCAGGAGATGATTTTTGAGGAAGGAGACATTAAGCAGTCAAAGATTCTAACTGAGCAACAACAGTGACATGTATCATAGTGACAGATTTGAGAGGCAACAAGGGAAGAGTTATTCACCATTTCTCACAATACAAATATTAACTGGTGTCACCTGAAATGATGTGATGGCGAGGTCAAAACAGGAAGTACGTCTTCCTATAATGTGTCAGTTATGAAACTTTGGATGGACTAACAACAACCACAAAAGGACAGATATGTAGATAAGAATAGTCCATAAATGCAATTCAACACAAAGACATGGATACAACCTCAACTTGAAAGTCCTTGAATCACAGATTGCCACTACTGTTCATGTACATAATACTGACCACTGTTAGAGGCTGGAAAGATCTTTACTGACCCCAAAAGTATAGTCTTGTTTTCTTCTGGTTTTCATTTGTCCTTTGAAACTTGGCACACTCAGTGATTAAAATGAACCTGACTTTGAAACAAATACATCCAAATCACAGGTATCCAAAGCGCTGTGTTAACCTTCCTGCAGTGTGTTTTGACCCTCGGAATATTTAAACTTTTACAAAAGATTTTGCTAGTGGACAGGCTCATCTTTTTCAGGGCATGATTGACAGGGGTCTATTACAAAATACCTCCCATTAGGGAAAAAAAAAAGAAGAAAAGAAAACTACCTTAATGGTGAAGCAGGGGATGACAGCAGCAGACAAAAGGTCGATGCTTCTTTGTTCTTCAAATCTGAAGAAAATACACAGAACTCCATTGTACGACTTTTTCATGCACAACATTGTCTCCCTTGACCTCATGCACATCTGCAGCCTGAAGTCCTCTGTTATCTCTGGATAACAGCTGTTCCATCACTGATTATTCATCAGCTTCACTTTAGTCTGCCTTAAGGTGCTGTGAAAAGCTCCCAGGTTGCTGAGTTTGCTAACAAGAATTCAAGATAAAGACTAAAATTGCTGAACAAAAAAAAAAAAAAAAAAAGGATAAATATCAGCATTACTGAACATTTCGTTTGGTTATCTGTAGCACATAGACCTATAGTTTAACATATTGAAATTGCAGGGTCTTTTGAAAATCTCCCCTAGTTCTCTCATTTAATTGGCTTTATACTTTTTATTTGGCTTTGGACAGCAAAATGTGAAGGCAAAGAACACATGCAGTCAGCAGTGGAAAAACAAGCAAGCCCTTCAGACACATGATGTGCAGGAGCAGAATTTGCAGAACAATTCATTAGTGAGGATTTCCAGTTAAAAGAAGGTGACTGAAAAGATATGTGCAAAACCCAACCCCTTTGAATGCAAATACTCCTTGATCTTTATTTGGGGCAGAAGGAAGTAATTTCTCTTCTGTCTTCTCACGCTTGCTATGGAGACCACAATTCAGTATGCACCTCCTCCTCAGACAATTCATCTTCTGCACTCTTCCACCACCACCTCCCCCAATCATTTTCCACCTCTCCCACTCCCCAGTTACCAATGGTCATACTCCCACATGGGTGCTAAATCCCATCAGTCTCTCTCTCCGAAGGATAAGGATGGAAGAGGATTACTTTGATCTCCAAGTCCCTTCCATGTGTCATTTGAGAGGTGAGGATGGAAGAAGGTGAAGATTTCCAGTTTATCGGCAAGGTGTTGATGGCCACCAGATTGCTGGGAACATAATAGAGGACATTCTTGGGGAAAAAAAAAAACAAAGAAGAAAAAAGAGGGAAAAAAAAAAGTGCTTTTCAGCTCAGCACTAAGTTGTTAATGAGCTCCTGGTGTAAATTCATAGGGTGCAGGGGCTGTACCTAAGCAGGTGGCTCTGCAGTGACAAGCAGCCTCCAGTTCCCTCCTTAGAAGTAAGCTCCTGCGCATCTCCTGTCCCTGACACACCTTCATGCCCAGTATGTGAATTTAGATCAGTATGACAGAGCCCACAATGTGCTAGGCATGTTTCCAGAAACATGAGACCACTTACAGACTGTAAACCAGAGAAAACAGTTCCTGCAGGAGCCCCAGAGGAGCTACAGGCTATTTCATGGAGCGTCCCTGAGTTCTGGTACCGGTGGCTTGTTTGCTTTGTGGCCATGTGTAAAACAGTGCTCAGAAGTCACCACTCTTTGATCTCTCCAAATGTGAAGGTGCTATGAAACAAGCACAAGCGTTGCAGGTAGCTGCAGTTTGCCTGTCGTAGTTATGAGTACTGTAGCTCAGATACAGGATGCCAACACCTCAGTCTACTGAAACGACACAGAGGGACACAGTTAAATGTTTGCTCAACCTTTGTTCTAAATTTCCCGATTTGATTGCAAACCTAAATTTTCTTCATGCTCCCAACTTGCCTTTTATCTCTTCCAGTCCATCTACATCACACTCCTTGCAATTGTATCACGCTTTCTTTGTCTGTATGCCAAGAATTTGCCAAGAACTTGCAAAATCCTCATTCCTAGTTCTTTACCTGTTTTGCACAGCATTTCTGCCTTCCTTCAGAAAGCAATTCTGCTATGGCTTCCTTCTGTTAGACAAAATTATGCAAACTGCATAGATTAAATTGCTGTATAATGGTTGATCAGCTTTTCCTTATTGTTTGCCATTTGTTACACAGGATTTGTGTGCATTTAAGAGTTTTATGTGTTTAATAGTTATTTAAGAGGCTTAGCATAGCTAATACCTTCAAGCAGTTCTGTCCCTGCAGACTACAGAGAAGTAAAGGCTACCTCTGTCACCAGTGGGGTTGATTAAGGTGTTTTGAAAAGTTTTGAAAGCCTGAGTGTCAAAGGAGCTGGGGAGAAGGTGCAGAGACTGCTGACACTGTTGGGAGAGCGTGCTGATGTTTGCCAAAATGATCCCTGTCCCTCTTATAAAAAGAGCTACAAAGCAGACCCAGCTCCCACTGGTGGAATGGGCTCAGCAGGATGTAGGTCTCCAAATTTCACTTTGTTCTATTACAGCCCGTTTCCGCTCATGTACATGCAAAAGCTTGGAATGACTTTGGCATGAGTGTAGGCTCCTCTTCCAATTCGAGGATGGTTATAAGCGAACACATAGGCATTTCCTCTCTGTTGCCAGATCCTGTTTTCATTAACATGTTGCCAAAGCATTAATCATATCTCAAATCCCTTGTGCCCCTGAGCAGACTTTCTCTCCCAGCTGCCTCATCCCCATTCCTTGACAGACAGACTTTCATCTCTCTCCTACTCCTTACACATCCTTGATCTTTTCCAAGAGCTGCCGCCCCACCAGACCAAGCAGGCCAGGAACAATGGGTGGTTTGCTACCATCAAGTTGGCTTTTCTGCTTCCTCGCTAGTTGTGTAGTGAAGGCCACTCCAGTGCACTCAGAAAAGCACACAGAATCCATGCAATACCTACAGCTTTTGGTAAGCAATTAACTGAAGAAGTCAGGTTTGGTTTTCTTAAACAAATTAGCCTTTTAGTATTGAGTTATACACACCGTTGAGAAAACAGAGAGTAAAGTAAATACGTTCTTGAAAAGCAACACTTCTCCCATGCAGCCCCAGAGAGTAGTACTCACACATTTGCCCACTGCAAACAGATGGGCCATTTTCTTGTGTCTCTATTAGGTAATAGGCTCAAGCTGTGAACAAATAAAGCAGAAAACACCCAATATGCCAATGTGTTAATTTTGTCTTCCTGTAGGTGTCCCTGTCGATTGCAAAAACGAGTCAGGACCTACTTTTTCATTTCTTATTTTTTGCTAGCAGAGAAAAAGACAAGTTGGAACCTTTTGCCTGGGCAAAATAAACTCTGGCCATTTTTCACAGTAACAGTTATATAAAAGGTGCTGATTAAGCCACATTTGAGAAACAACAATATTAGCCCTAACAGCTTGGAATTCTGTTTCGATATGTGTTATCTTTTTAGATAGCTGGGTTCTCCTTTAAAGCATACATCTCTATACATATTCCTGCCAACCCTAAGTTTTAATGATATGCCCAGAACAACTCTCCCTAATGTGCATATGAATACACATAGTATATATAACTATTCATCATTTGCATGGCCTTTGATGTGCTTCACTGGTGTATAGCTGAGGACAGAATATAGCTGAGGCTGCACAGACCTTATAAACCAGTAACATGTTCAAGAAACATGTTCATCATTGCTTTTGTACACAAGACTATTTCCATGATTGCATTGGAACTGACAGGAGGTTTCCACAGGGAACAAAACGGAAGGTAAAAACCTCTAAAGAAGTCTAGATATTGACTAAACCCAACAATAATTCAGTATTATTTTTCCAAGGTACTCAGTCTAAATTCCTAGTTTTACTTATTTTGCCTAGAAAGTCTTTGTCCTTGCATGGCTGAATTCATCAGCCCCGAGGAGAAGCAAGTGCTGAATGACACAGGCATTTGTGTACTTACCAACAGAAACCCAACAATTCTTAACGTACTCAGGCCTATATCCAAGAGATATAAAGGTGCTTTGCTTTAAAGTCTATCCTGATTAGAGTCACTCCTATGACTCTTAATTTACCACTATCAAACTACCTCTCCTATTGTTATAACCTTTCTTTCTTTCATGAAGGTCCTTCGAAAGCTTTTCACGTACTTGTTAAATGCTCTTGGTCACAAAGCCTGCTCAAAGTTCCCTTGATCATGTCATTGCTATGGTGTAAAATTGAATTACTTTTACAATGCATGCTGTACCCTGGCAAAGTGAAGCCTTTTCCCACAGTTAACAGAGGTTGAAAACCTCAAAAATAAGTGAATAAAGAAGGACAAAAAAATAGTTAATTTTCATTAAAGAAGGAAAAAACTTTTTCTTGATATGTGGGGAAGGCAAGCTCAAAGAGTTCTCTAGTTAAGTGTTAGCCTGGCATGCTATCTCACTGTTTCAAAAGAGAAATGGATTGACTTGCTGAGGAGGCTTTAGTAATAGTGAAAAATAAGGCATTTGGAATTTGCCTGATTTTTTTGTTGGTAGTTATAGGCATTTTGTCTCCCACAAAGAACCAAGAACACGAACAGTTTCTTTATTGCCGAAAATGGCTGTGGGATATTCTGGGTTTGCAGATCACGAAGTTAGTCCTCATCTTATTTGTGTCCTTTTTATAGGCTTGGACATCAAATAAATAAGGTTATCCACACCAAAACCAAGTATTAAAACTAGACAAACATATACTCAGAGCATATTCCCTTTACCCCCCCCCCAAAACCCCTCCCACACATCCCTTCTTGGAAAATAAACCAGGCTTTGTTAATCCTATTGTATAATCTAAATAAAGGACTTTGATTAGCCCTGCTTATTCCAGATTCTCATTGCACATTTGCAACACAGTACAATATCAAGGCTGCAGTGGCAATCCATTGCTCCATGCTGGAGACAGAAGCCCAACCCTTTCCTTGAGGGAGCTCAGTGGTGCTACATCATCTACAGGGTATGAAATGCATGCAGCAGAGCATGTGGACATGCCTAACATTTTTCTTGAGTTCAGCATGGTCCTGCAGTGACCCTATTGATCAACTATTTTACCTGGTGTCAAAATCTTGGGTTAATTTTCCTTCCCCCTCAGTTTCTGGTGCATGACTTGTCTCTGAAGTTCCTGCTTCCTTCAGGTATTCATGTGTTTCACAGCACATTCAGCCCTTAAGCCAGTGAGCTGGGACCAGCAGGAGCTCATGGACAGGGGTGCAGTAGTCATTCCCAGGGTCCCAGCTGGGGAAGGTCTAGGTGCACCATTCTTGTCTTTGATAACTCAGACCCACTCTCAGGTGCCCATAAAGTCCTAGTTTGGCTCAAGACAGTCCAGGGTGGTTTCAGTCCTGCCTATACTGTTAAAGGGGCTATGCTGCCATGTCACAGGGTAATCATCTTCTAGTGGTACTTGTGCTTGCAGGTATATATTCTGCTAAAAGTATGCTTTCATGGTGACAACTTGTGTCCTGCCTAGCAGAGTGATATAATTGTACTGTTATCATTAGAGTTGTTTGCGGGGAGCTGCTTCCACAGTGGCAGTGCAGCCCTGCCCTAGGGTGTGGGCAGAGATGCAACCTCTGTTGCTCAAAGGGATTTCCAGTTAGCCAAGCAGCAGGATGAACAATAGGAGCAGCACCCTTTTGATTTGCATGGTTTTCATCTTTCTTTTGCTTCCCTTGGATTTTCTAAGGCAGGCTGTGAATGCTGAAGTGTCACCACTTGCACTTAAAGACTTTGCAGGTGATAGTGCGATGCTTGTTCACACCAATATGCCAGGAACCCCACAGCAGGAAGTCAGCTCTTTCAGACCTCTTTAGAAATGTGTGATAATCTTATAGCGCACCAACACTTTCTCCCTCCCCTCTCTCCCTGCCTCTAATCTCTCTTAAACAAGGCTAGGTTTTGATGCTGCTGCTGACATAGCTCTTTCTCTAAATTTGCTCTGTTTCACACCTCACTATCCCTTACCACTGCACTATTCAGAGCTCTGGGGACAGGTTTATGGATTCAGTCTACACCTAGCCTGCTGTGTTGCACCCTTCATGATGCTTTTTTCCACATGCTTTGGAAAAGACACATTTGGTGATAGATATGCAGGCCTTTTCATATTCTCTTTCTCATTTTCTTCACTTCTTCCCTCTTGTGCCTTGTCTTCTCTAAAAGGATTCCTCCATATTTAAATTTTGCACTTATTGGTCAGATTCCTCCTGTTCTATGTTAGAGCAGGTCAGATTTTTAATTAATTTATTCTTTTTTCAACACAAACAGGTTTTTATTAACCAAGCACCCCCATTCTGAACAGTTTTCAATGAGAGGAAAGCTCCAGGTTCAAGTACCTCTATGAAGTAAGTTAATGGTAATTTGAATGTGAATCTATATCCCATAGGAACACGCTTACCACCAAAATGATGTTTGCTCTATGTATGTTTGTTTCAGTCACCAATCTGCCCACCAATTTTTGAAAGATTGTTTTATCTTGATGTGCAATAAAGTTGAAGGATTTAAGAAGTTTCCTGGCCAGCTCTCTATATATCAATGTAGTATTTGAGTGTCTCTCAGAGGCTGACTAATTTGCTCCTGCAATCCTTCAAACAAGGCAGTAACATATGGACTCAGGTTTAGAGTTTGGCAATAAAGACACAGAGGACAGGTTAAACAATTTTCCCAAGGTCACAGTCAAAATATGAGTGTGCTTGTCCACAAGACTCCCTTCTCATGCCAGACTTTTTCTCCAAACTCCTCTTTTTCAGTTAAGTACCTATCAATATTTAGTTTATGCCAACACCTGATATCAGAGCCACTGAGACTTGCAAAATCCTTAATTAAAACTGTGTACAAACACTGATTCCCCACAGTGTGCATCTGGAGTAGGGGTTACTGTTTTGTCTCCTCTGCAGGTTGTGACACTGCAGGACATACGGGAAAGATGACTTGACCAATACTGTGCTGTGAATCATGAGGGAAAGTCCTGTCATTGTCCCTGTCCCTCCACATGCACAGACTGTAGAAGACACCAGATTCCCAGGCTGCTTTTAATTTGGTTTAAACATTAATATTTTTCTGTACCTTATTAATCCCGATGAAGATCAGCATTTCCCTCTTTAGCGCAACTGAGGTGTGTTAAAACTCACCAGGATTTACACACCACATTTGGGTCTCTCTTAAGAAGCTCAGCTGTAAAAATAATTCTCATCACACATTACAAAGCTGACTGTGGTGTTAAACACAGCAGACATTTGGTGAAGTATACTCCTGGACAAGACCAAGTAGCTGTTAAGCGTGCTAAGAAACAGTTCTCATTCAAACAGAGGCCACCAAAACGGTTTTTGAATGAGAACTCACTGGGTTTTCTTCATCCTTTCATCTTGTCAGGAAATCTCTGTGAACTTCCCTCCTCTCCATTTGCTTTCTTTCCCCTTTCTCTGCTGTCATTTACCATCCAGGCTATTTTCTTCAAAGTACCCTCTAAATGTCACAACCACCAAACAACCACAGCAAATAATGGAAATGCCCTCGTAACCCTTCCCAAAGCACTTATATACCAACGCTGAATAATGATGTGACCTGCTCTCATTCTTGGGAGCATATTTCACAGTAGTGGTAGAGGAAAGAGAATGGTTTTAAGATTTTGTTCCCTTTTCTCTAGGTTCTCTTTTGATGTAAGACAGCTCTACAAACACAATGTAGAAAAACCCTACAGCCCAAACCAGATGCCCGTTGGAGGGATCGTGCCAGCTGATACAGAAAGAGGAACATTCCTATTTCAAGTGCTGCTGCACATGCTTCACTGTGTCCCCTAAGAAAATTACTCAAAAGCCCTCAGGGACCTCTAAAACAAATAAACCATAACAGGGCTTGGGTACAGCAAAGATGTGCACATATTTGAACACAGGGTTTCACCTGGAAGAGACAGTCCATAACACAGGATTTCAGGCAGAAATCCAACTATTACTTCAGTTTTTAAAACCCACAAGTTTTTCAAAGAGCCAAGAGAACTGTTCTTTTGCTGATTCTTCCTAATGTATCAAAAGACACTTGTTCAGAAGGCCCACACTAATAGGCATTTAACTATGTTAAAGTAAGTTGTAGGTTAAGATACCCTACTTGATTAATATCAGGAGTTCTGCATAATTTCATTCAGTGTTGGTTGAAGTACTCTCCTCCCAAACAACTTATTTCTCTCTGTTTCTTCGATCACTGATAAATATGAACTTCATGGTATTTTGTATTCAAGATGTGCCTGAAGCAATATCCTCAAACCAACTCCTACTCAAGATTAGAAAAGAAATATTTAAGTCAGTGCTTAAGCTTTGAAGATGATCTTATTGCAGTCCCAACAAGACCTCTGGATCTAATCTAGATCAGGGCTTTGGTCACTGCCCCCTTTCTCTTTTACAGAGACAGAACAATACTGAATGCATGGTCTGTCTCACAACAGCTTTCCCTCTTTCCCTTCAGGTCTTTCACTGTACCTAATTTGCCTTACCCTAAACAAGCAACACTGACCTTATCATCAGGCACTAAGAGACACTTCAAAAGTAACCACTGGCTTACGGGTCAGGAGGGAACAGAAGCATTCAGTTCAGCTCGCAGAGGTGTGGGTTTGGGAACACGCTTATCTGTTCACACATAAGCTCCTTCTGAGCTGCTTTGCATCTATGGAAAAGAAAACAGTGGTACTGGTGGTGCAACCAAACCAAAGACTAGGTGCTTCCCTGAGCATGGCTGGCATACACAAGGGAAGGAAATTCAAAAGATACATCCCCTTCACAAATAAAGCTACCTATGTAATTAGGTAATGAAGAGAAAAATTGTGCCTGGGTCCCAGCTGTGAAACTTGAGGACTGACAGAACCTTCTTCCTGCCTGCAGACTCATTTCCAGGTCTGCACTGGAAACTCCTCCTAGACCAGCTATGGAAGTCAGTAGACAGAGAATATTCCTTCTCTTACCACTGTGATTTTGCTAGAAAAATCCCCTGTTTAGGTATAAGTAAATGAACAGGAGGATTCATTGCTAATTCTGCTCAGAAAATGAGCAGGATCGATACTGGACAGAGTATGTGATGGCCAGTAGCTGGAGGGCTTTCCAACATGATTCAGGGCGTAACTACCTCAGGATCCCCTCTGAAGCACAGACAAGGCCTTTTCCTTGTTGCTGTGCAGTCACCAGAGCTATCTGCCTCCGTAACACCACATGGCAGTATGTTCCTCTGGTTAGTTAGAAGCGGCATAAGCAGGAGATGTTTGCACAACCAGGAAGCACCCTCTGTGTCTTACACAACTACTAAGGAGACAAGCTGGTCTTGTGGTTGATGCCAGAAATGTGTTGCTGCAATACCCACTCTACTCATGTGCTGTAGCCCTTCATCTCTTGTCTGTCAAGTTTGTGGCAAGGACAATCTGGGCATGTGCCTGGTACAACATGGCTCCCTATCAGTTGCTTCTGAACCCTTACACAAACAGTTGCTAATGATAGGAGATCCTTTGCCCTCAGTGTATGTAAACAAGCAAACAGTTAAAAGTTTCAAACGCTCATCTCTGGCTTTTACTGAAATAATGGCAAAATGGTCAGTGGAAGGAGGCCCAAGCCCTTCAGCAGTGCTATCAACCCTGGCTCCTCCATTTTCGTTGCAGCCTCTTTGGGGTGCACAGAGCTCTTCAGTGAACCATTAGTATACTGAAGGTCATAACTTCCTAACCTGCCCTGTTGACTTCCCAGGGGGGATTTCCAAGCTTACTCCTTCTGGTGATCTGATTTCCATGTGTATGAGATGAGGTGAGAGCATGGCCATTTCAAAGCCTCGGAAGTGGACCTCCAGCACTGGGATGCTGAAGGAGGGCAGGGGAATCAGCATGAGAATGTTATCCTAACACCTTGGCAAGAATGGGAACCCTGACACAAATGTTTATTCAGAGGCAGAGGGATGGCCTAGCTGGGCAGTATTTTATTTTTCACTCCTAGGAGTGTGAAAAGAGGACATGTAAAGAAATTTACAATCTGTGGTTCCCCTCCTGAGACCTGAAAGATGCAACAAAGTCATGGGAAACCAAAAGGCTTTTAAGATGAGGGAGGGAATTTGCTGCCCACTGTGAGCTTAAACCTGCAGCTTGTCCTTCTGGCTGCATTTGGACAAATTCAGACAAAAAGTTTATGTCAGGAGAAGATGGATCAGAAAAGAGCAATGGGATTTTACGCAGGCTGTGGCTTTCAAAATCAGAGTCCTTCTTGTTTGTTGGTGGGAATGCTTAGCAGCCTGCTACGATATGGCCACAGAGCTGTGCAAGGGGTGAGATATCTAACAGGTCAGCAAATCTGGTCAAGTAATGGAAGTTACCGTCTGCCTAGCAAAAGCTGTGAGTACTTATCTGGTGCTCTTGAAAGAGCACATGGCATATTAATTAGTGTCAGACACTAATGAAAGGCTAGCCCAGTAATTACTGCTGAACCAAAGCAGAGGCTGTTCCTGCTACCGCTCAGTGTGTAGTGTAAGAGAATGTAGAGAAGGGTCTTGTGTTTGGGTCCAGCCTGACCTGGTCTCAGCTGTGCCCCAGGAGCTACCTTCAGACCATCCCATGAGTATATTTGACATATGCAGAATGACAGCCAAATATAATCTGTACAAACTGTATCTAGACAGGTATATTTCAAACCCAGAAAGCCCATTAGATTTTTCTGACCTGAACACTTGTGTATCCTTAGCATCCCTGGCCATGGGACTTCAGACCATTCCTCTGTTTTGAGCAAGGTTTTCACTTAGGAAAGACGATAAATTGCTGTGCCCTGGTGGAGATTAAAAGCCGGTAAACAGACAGCACGGCCTTAACCTATTTCTCACACATTTCACACAGGTGAACTCAACTCAGTTTCCAAAGTTTACCTACCTGTCAATGATAAGCTTACATGAGTTTCCTGTTTTAACCACCAGCCTCTTGATACCTTGTGTTACAGCATTATGTTTCTCTACTCCAGATTGATGAGTCCATCCCATGAGCATGCTTCTGACCAAAGCTGGACCAGCTGAGGAAGAACAGGCCTAGCACAGCAGCTCAATCTTATTGCCCAACCTTTTAGGACGACTGAATGACATGAACGCATTCATTTGTACATCAGAAGATGGTGGCACATACTTCTAACTTGTGTTAATGTGACTAGGACTAACATAAGCAAGGCCACTTCTATGGAGAAATATGTTGGCAACTGACAAGATATTATTACATTTAGTTTTCAGAATAAAAGCAGCCCACTTTGTTAAGTCTCCAGCCAAGAGTGTCTGTGTTCAGATGTCACAGTAGACTATTTCCTAATCAATATAGCATATATTTTCACTTCATGAAGAAAACAGCTTGGTAAGTCAAAAGCCTTTTGATAAGGCATTTGTGTCCCATAGATGGTAACGCTTACAGTCTTCCTTATTTGGGAGAGATTGATACCCAGTGAACCGGCAGAGCTCTGGGGCTCTGAAACAAGTGCTCTCTTCTTCTCCAGAATAAGACTGTAGGAAGACAACCTGGTTCCATCCTAACACTCTCTCTGAGCTGTCCATTTCTAATAGTCAAAGGAAAAACAGCACTTCCCAAGGGCAGATTCAGATCTCAGCTGAACTGACTAACCCTCAGAAAGGCACTGTCTTTCCTCTCTTTTGAGCAGAAGTGAAGGAACAATGAGGCAGACTGGAGTAACACTCACCTCAGGTAACCAAGCCACCAAAAATCAGGCTTCTAGTTCATGTCACCACTTTAGGCTCCCTTTACAGTCAGAGATAAAACGGGCAACTGCAGGAGACAATTTTCCCACCCATTTCAGGAGGGGCTCAACTACCCTCTGAAAATGCCTGTTGTGTCCTGACTGTCAAGTGAAGGAAGACAGACTATCAGTTTGGATCTGGGGCAGCCCAGCTTTCAGACAGCTAATGCTGGGTGAGGGCCCTTAGGCATCGCAGGTTAGATGCCTCCAGGTTAGATGCCTCCAGTTAGTTGATGGGAATCTGGGCCAAATACCTTTGTCATCTTCAGAGAGGAGTTTCACCTTTTCACCATTGAAACCCTTTGAAAAAGAATCAGAAGAAAAAACAAAACGGCAGAAGTGATTAGATCATATTGCAGGCTATTTGTTGGACATTTATATGTTAAAATTGAACCATCATCAGCTATGTGATAGCAAAACAAGAGCAGTCAGAAGAAGCTGCAATGATTTTAGTCAAAGGACTAAACCTTCCAGCCTGGACTAAGCTCTTGCATACATGCTGGTCACTCTGGCTAGTGCTATACTTACCAGCATCTTGGAAGATCAGATGATAAGCTTGCACATCCACATGGAATTTTCCACAACAGCCACAGGCAAAACTTATTTCAGTGATGCAACCTCAAACTTCCTATCAAGGCATTTCAGATCCTGTATTACTGAAGACAGAACACAGCTGGATAACTGCTTTTGAGGGCAGTAAAACTGCATGGAAAATTCAGGCTGTAGATTTGAAATACTCAAATTTCCATGTGCATGTTCCATGCCTGACTAGGAAGAATCATGTGCAAATAACTAATAGTGAACCTGAGAAGCCTTATACATTCTTTTCAGTGTTATAAAGAAGCATTTATGATTTCTTTATAAATTATGACAAGCTCAGCCCACATCTGAAGATTATGTCACAACCTGAAGGGATAGTCTGATCTGATGCAGCAAATCCCACTTTGTTTTGATTTCAGCCTCTTTTTTTCCACCGCCAATAGTTAATGTTTGATATGAAGGGCACTGGGATAATTATCACTGCATCTGTTTTCTCTATCACAGACTGCATTTTTAGCCATCGAATCACTTACAATTGGATGGAGGATTCTGAGAGTGTGTTTACCAAGAAGTTGAGAGGCATCTGTTTCATTTAGTCTGGAATGAAAAAAAAGTAAAAATGGAATACTTACCCTGGAGCAATGCTGAAATTATGTTACATGCTAAAGTCCAGGCTACTGCTCTATTAAATCAATTTTTAATGCCTCCTTGTTAAATCTACTAACCTTTCCTGCACTAGACATGCCCAGATTTCATGACCATCCTTGCCAATGCTAGGAAGCAACTGATGCTAACCAGGAATAGAACGCAGCAGAACTCAATTCCCAGAGCAAAACCAGCTTGTATTTTGCACTGTTATAATAAGTAAACTCAAAGTAAGCGTACTAAGCAAAGCCCTGGCTTGCAGAAGCTCTGCAAAAACTGCAAGAGTTCTGAAGGGCAAGAGATGTTTTATTTGACAGGTTCTGCTAAGGAAAATAAAAATAAATACTTATGTGGAACATTCACATAACCCCTTGCTCATTTCAGAGTCTGTGGTTTGCAGATCACTGCAGACAAACTCAAATTGCATTACTTGGCTAAGCGAATTCCCACATATCTGTCTCGAGGTCTTGTTGTTCTTTGAAGACGGAGGAAGTTTCAAGTATTAAAACCATCCTCAAAATCTTTATGAGACAGAGTGACAAGGTACTTTGTGCTTCTAGGGAGGTGGAAAACCAAAGATCTGTAACTTTTCCCAGATTTTCTTATGCTACTAGTAAAACACCCTGGTATATGGAGGTACAATCCCCTCACCTACCTATCCTCCCACCACTCATCTCTCTCTCAGTTCCTGGCAGAGCAGCTGGTAGTGAAGGACCTTGGGCTGCAGAGCAGAGACATATATTATTTGAGGGATGACAGTGCACAGGTTTTGAGCATGTCTCAGCCATGACCCACACTACCCTATTTAGCCTGGTTGTAGAGGTGTAGGCGTCCCTGGAGCCAAACCCTTACATACCTGCGTATGTCATGTTGCACTTCTTCACTACTGTGATAAACTACTTCTTTCTGTACCTGCCTCCCAGAAGCAAACTACCAAACAGGTTTCTGATTGCAAAGATTTAATATCCAATGCAGAAGTGGCTTTGCATAGGTTTTGTATTTTCATTAAAGATCTGGGATGCATTGTGACTTCCAACAGGACCTGGAGATGACTGACTGACTGATTATCTATCTTGACTGATTATCTATCTATCTATCTATCTATCTATCTATCTATCTATCTATCTATCTATCTATCTATCTATCTATCTATCTATCCAGAGCTACTAGTATTAACTGGTGCTAATAAAACTGCATAATATTTAAACATACAGAAAGCCCAAGAGCATGAGATGAGATTTAAATAAAAACACATTTCAAAGTCATACAAATGACCATCAAAGACTGATTTCTTGTTACTCTCTCAGCTGGCTGCTGTCAGGCAAAGAACTGAGCAATTCCGTTTTTTAATGCCATGTAAATTATACTTCTGTGTTGTGATACATCAATTAAGTTCTTTGAATAAATTAATCAGAAAATTCTGTAAGGATGCTTCTTTGCTTTCTAAAAGGAAAAAATAATAAACCCAAACACAAACCCAGGCTTTGTGTTTGTCTGGTGGTTTGTTTTCCTCTGGAGTTAATTCATGGGTTGGAATCTCCATGCATATATATTCACACATGTAAATAAGGACTGAAAAGCTTCACATTCTGTGTGAAAAGCCTCAAAACACTTCTCATAATTTAACTTAATAGATGTTAGAAACATGCCAACTAAATAAAGTGCCTTACACACATTTAGATGAAGCATCACTTTTGCAGCTGACTGACTACTGCTCCATTATTTCTACTAATTACATATTTATCTGCCTTAAGGAGCAGTTTTACTATTGATTCAACTAGAAAACAGCTTGCACAAAGCCAAAAATAAAGCAGCATTATGAAGTCAGACTTTTACATGCAAATATAGGACCCAGCTAGCAGAGTCTAAAGCAGCAGTCACGTAACTTCACGGAGTTGTACCACCTCATCACACAAACAAAATTGTTTCAGGCTTTAACATGAAAGTAGAAAAGTCGGATAAATCAGATGAGCTTATGAACATGTCCACTGCTTAATGTAAAGACATCAGTGATACAGAAATGAATAAAAGGAAGACTCACAAATGCTGAGCACCATCAAAGCTCTCATCATGGCATGAAGAGCTTGCGTCCTTTGTAAAGGAGTAACGCTGTGTTTTGAACAGGATCTAATTTCTCAAAACCTAATAGACTCTTCTCTCTGATTTAGTACACACAGACTGAGCTGAGATCAAACCTTAATTATGTCTGAGTTTTGCTGTAGTGTGACCTATGTTAAAACATTCTAAAAGCCAACACCTTTCTCACCTAAACCTTGATTGCTGCATCAAACTTCAAACCTGATTTTTAATTTAAACCCTACATTTTATTTATTTAAACTAAATCATGATTTGTAATGCTTCCAGTTTCTCAGGAGTGGCTCTGGCTACCTGAGGAAATGAGTGCAACCTACTGCACTGAACTGTGAGATGCTGGCTTTGCTCAGCCATCTCCAGGTGTAATGTGATTTCATTAACCAATAAATGGCACATCCTACCCCCTCTATACACCAAACAACCCCACAAAACAAAAAAAAGAAAATTGAAAACTGGAAGCATCATCAAATGCCATGGATCAAAATCTCATCTGGCATAAACCAAAACACTGATGCTGAAAGTCTATGGAGTTGCACTGATTTATGCAAACAATAACCCTAGATGCTGAACTGCTGCAATGGCATGCCCATTCTCAAAACTGAAGGCCCATAAAGGAACATAACAGCCAGGTCAGGCAGTAAAAGGCAAGGTCTTGCTGGTGATAAGAGAGTGGGAGGCTGCCTTATAGGCTGGTTTCTTTCTTCCTTTCTTCCTCCCTCCCTTCCTTCCTTTCTCTTTTCCTTATTAATTTATGTGTTTAGAGATTTTGACATCTAGCATATGAAAGGTAGCCATGTGATTACACAAAGGCAAAAAAGATATATATTGTATAGAGGTGCTGAAAGTGTATACATGCACGCATGAGTAAATGTTACGTATTTTCAAGGGAACACAGGAGTGTTTCTGTTGGAATAATGAACAGAGCAGTAGTTGATGGGGGGTGACAGAAAAGTCTCCCCACCCCCTTGCAAAACCAAGCATCGTCTGTACTCATTCTGTCAAATAATAAGCATTAATGCTTTTAAACAATGTGTGCTTGAAGAAAAAGGACGGATGGATTGAGGGAGGGGAGGTTTGTAAATATTGCCCACAAATCATTCAGCACTTCTTTCACAGTGCAGTATTAAAGCCAGACTAAATTAGCAGTCCACTTCCCCCGCTCTCCTTCCCACTCAAGTCATGTCTGTTTACCCTCTGTAATGACAAAACGTAGACAACTGTCTGCTAGGACTGCGGTGACATTGGCACACACATACCAGACAAGCAGAATGTTGTGGGAAACAGAGATTGAAGCATCTTGATATACGAGAAACAATTATCATGGGAATTGTTGTTTCTCAATGCAACAGCTATAATAAATAGTTGCCATATGCTAAGCACAGATGCCTCCTTGAAAAGCAGCCCTGTGATGGCACAGCCCATGTTCTGTAGAGTCTGGGGCTTTGATGAAATGATTGGCTTTTGCAAGCAGAACTGCTGCCCCAAGGAAAGGTATCTCAGGCCACTGAAGAGCTCAGAGGGGAAAAAAAAGGCTCTGGGACAGCTTTGCATTTTGCTAGTGGGTTTTGCAAGGGAATCTGAAGCCGATCACTTCAATCAGGTGAGAGAAACTGGGATGCCTCTTGGTAGCATGGATTTCACCTCTGCTTGCTTTTCAAAAAACAGATAGAGAGGCATAGGAAACCTTTTGGGGAAGAAGTACTAGTTGCCTGCATTACTCACGTATCAGAACTGCAAGAGGATCTGGTGCACTGCAGGGGTCTCAGGCTTTGTTTGATTTCAGGAGTTTGGGTGGAGCACTTCATGTATGTGCACACACACACATATGCATGCATCTTCACCTGTCTATCACAAGATTTTTCTGTCGATCTAGATAGGAAAAAGTTTTTTGTAGCAGTGGAAGATAAAGAAGCAAGCGGAAGGCTC